AGGAGAATAGTTTGCTTCACAAGAGGAAGACAGAATCCCCATCAGTAGCCCAAGGCCTATCCCTGTGAGGCCAACATGCTGTCTCCCCCCAGCCCTTTCACCAACCCTGACACAAATCTTTCCTCCCGCAGCACCCACCACCTCTCTGCTGGGTTCGATAATTTGCTGCAGTGGCCACACAGAACTCACAGACTGTAGGGTTTATTAGGGAAGCACCAGGCTACAATTCAAGTTCAGGAAAAACGCTCAGTCTCTCTCCATCTCACCAACTCTCAGCCAACAGTCTCTCCCAGTCTCTCCCCCAGCAGTGCATGTTTCTCGTATCTCTCTCGGCAACGTGTGTCTCTCGGTGTCGCTCTCGCAGCAGCACATGTGTCTCAGGAGTGTGTTTCTCTCAGCAACATGTCTTTCTCAGCCAGCAGTTCCAGAGACTCCGTCTGCCCTAGAAGGGCTCCTTTTGAGTCTGGCAGTGACCATCTAACCAATCCCACATCAGAATTCTAAACATCTGAGAGAGAACGAACTTCCCAGAACATTGCTTTGTGCCACTCTCAACAGAAATACCCCAGGTGGATAACTTTAACAATCAGAAGCTCCTCCGTTTCTCAAAGAAAATTCCACCAAGGAGTTTAAACAGACTTATGGCTAGAAAAACCACTCTGAATAATTTACTACACTGCAACCCTAATGTCACTTTTCAATGCTGCACAACCATAAACCCTACCACTTTATTACCTGACTCACCTCCAGACCCTCAGCCAGAATAACAGCCTCATACCTGTTCTGAATTCTCAACTTAACATTAAATCCATTCCTACACATTACTGACACACACATTGATGGAGCTCCCAATTGGTTCACTGACAAGAGCGCTCACAAGACCCACCTAGCCAAAGCAAGTTATGCTATCATTCAGGGACATCACAATTCCAATCCTCACGGCCACCTCCATAACATTATTGAGGCCAAATCTTTACTGAACGGAACCATGTCCCAATAAGCAGAACTAATAGCTTTGATACGGGTGCTCACACTAGCTTCTGACCAAATTATTAATATTTTTACAGATTCCAAATATTCCTTTAACATGATCCTTTCTGATAACCTGATCTGGAGAGAACAGAGTTTCCTAACACACACACAAAAAAAATCCCAATTACCAATGGAACCTTAATCCAAAAACTATTACAAGCTGCCCTATTCCCAAAAAAGGTAGCTATAATCCACTCTCGCAGGCACCAGCATAACAAAGAGTACATCTCCCACTCAAACAATATAGTGGACCAACTAGCCAAAAAAGTGGCTCTGGGAGAGCCCATCCCCAAAACCCTCTATTCAACCACCACTTGGACTCACAATAAAATGAACCTTCCTTCTGACCAAGTTAGGTCCGTTCTCCAGCATTTATGTTCCCTTTTTCACCCAGACACTAGACCCCTTCAAACCTTCACTCAGACATTCCTGAACCTCACCCCCACTGATCTTTCCTTTCTATGCCAACTCTCCTCCACTTGCACAGTTTGCTCGAAATCCAACCCAAATTCCAATATCAGAGCCTCTACTTTCCCAACCCACCAGGCTAGAGGCTCTCTCCCAGCATCAGATTAGCAAATCAATTTCACCTACATGCCCCCAGCCCACAAATATAAATATCTCTTAGTCCTAGTGGATACCTTCACAGGATGGGTTGAAGCCTATCTCACCATCAATAAAAGAGCCTCTATGGTTCCTCTATCTTAACCCGAGAAATCATTCCCTGCTTCGGGGTCCCCATTTCTTTTCAATCAGACAATGGACCTGAATTCATGTCTATCATCACCCAAAACATAGTATCTTATCTCAACATCCCCTGGAAGTTCCATATTCCCTATCACCACCATTCCTCAGGAAAAGTGGAAAGAACCAATCAAACCTAAAAAACATCCTTACCAAACTGTCTTCAGAAACACAAAAAACATGGGTAGAACTTCTACCTCTAGCCTTACTGAAATACCGCCACCTAGTACACTTTCTGCTCCTGACCCTAACCCTCACATTACCTGAGTATCTCAATCAAATAATTGATGTAACCACTTCCTTCCTCAAACAATCCAATTCTTCATTGGCACCAGCATGCTAGGTCTGCCTCCATCTCTCACAAACTGCTAATCAAGATTTTCCAGTGTCTCTGCAACCATGGCTCATCACACCTGCTGGCCGGCACTACCATCTAGACCTGCACTCAGAATTTGAAGCATTACATGGTGACAACGGTAACGGAGGAGAAGACCTATGCAAGAGGGCCAACATCAATAACTTCAATATGGCCTTAGATGCCCTCCATCCTCACCAACACCTCATCCACAAGCCTATCCAGGCTCATGACCCTAGCCTACCAAGCCCCTCTTTGTATCTCCCATCAGCCTTTCCCAACATCTTCTGAAGTTGGGTCCCTATCCCCAAGGGCCTGCAATTTTCCACTCCCTATCCCAGGCACATTGGGTCACCTTAACCTTCCCCTCCAGGCTGGGGCTACATCTTACCTTAGGATCACACCACCACCCATGATCTCCACCACTGAAACCTCCCCAGGTAGCCTCTATTGTCAAGGGTGAAACTCTCATCCTGACATTCCTGGAATGGTAAACAGGTGGGCATCTCCCCCAACCCCAGCTGACACAAAGGGCACATGTTGCCTCTTCCCCCCAACCTTAAACTTTTGCAGATCTCAATACCCTCAGGCTGATTCAAGAGACCCCCTCCCTCAATAGCAATACCCTTGTGTCATTTCAACCTCTGACCACCATGAGCCTAGGACACTCAATTACCTTTTGGCATCAGCGAGAGAACACCAAACGACCTGATGTAGGTAAAATCTTTCAATGGTGCGGTTCGACCTCTCTACCTGCTTTGACTTTGCCTCTGGATTTTTTGGGTATGTGGAACAAATGTCTATCTATGTCTCCCTACCAACTGGGCAGGAACCTACTCTTTAGCATACCTATCCCCCTAAGCACAGTGCCTCTGAGATTTAACCAACAAACTGCAAGTTCAAGCAACAGCATCTCCCTCCTGGTTCCTAGGAAATCTCCCATCTTGACTCATACCTCTTATAACTCCCTTTATTAGCCTACTCCTAATTTGTTCATTTCTCCCTTAGTTCATCAGGCTTTCTAAGCTTCTTACCTGGACGCGTGGCAGCAATCACCCGAGCAACCACCCAAGATCATGTGAAAACTGTGTTCCTTCTCCAGACTCAACAAAGCGACAGCAGAACAAGCTCCGCCAGTGACCAGCAGGAAGCAGTAGATAAGATGACATTGACCCTCCTCCCTCTTATATCCCTTTAGAGTCTGGAATGAAGGACCAAACTGGCTACTCTAAACGTGGCTAAGACACCATGAAACCTCACATATGAATTCTACTTGCAGACCCTACACCCTCCCCCACCTAGTGAAACCTTAGAGATACCTTCTACTTGTAGACTGCACATCCTGCCTCATCTTGTGAAACCTTAGAAATAAATTTCACTTGCAGACCCTACACGCTGCCCGCCTGGTGAAACCTCAAAGATAAATTACCAGCCTGCAGACTCCACACTCTCCCAGCTTTGTCAGAAAAACAACCCCACTTCCTGCAAACTGCAACTTTTGCAAAGCCCCTTGCCCTTCACCAGAGGTCCCTGTAAAGGGGAGCAACACTTCCCCAAGGTGCGGCTCTACTCTGCAACTGGCATTGTCTATGGTTGCTTCTGGAGCCAACTCTCAAGGGCTTTTCTTCAATAAAGCCTGCTCTGATCTGTTGAAGTCATGGCTACTTTTTCTTCCCGTCCTTTCACTTTAACATCTGCACTTCCTCACTTTCCTAACAGGGACTGGAGAAGAATTGATGCTTTTGAGTTGTGGTGTTGGTGAAGCATACCGAAAGTACCATGGACTGCCAGGAGAACTAACACATCTGTCTTGGAGAAAATACAGCTGAAATCTTCCTCAGAAGCAAGAATGGCCAGACTTCATCTCACCTACTTTGGTTATTTTGTCAGAAGGGGCCATTCCCTGGAGAAGGATATCATGCTTGGTAAAGTATAGCGTCAGTGAAAAAGGGGAGGCCTTCAACAAGATGGATTGACAAAGTGGCTGCAACGATGGGCTCAAGTATAGCAGGGATTGTGAGGCTGGTGCATAACCAGGCAGTGTTTTGTTCTGTCATACATAGGGTCACTATGAGTCAGACCTGACTCCATGGCACCTCACAACAACAACTACTACTACTGCAAGAAACTAAAGGTGACCTACATAAATGGAAGGACATTCCAGACTCAGGGATTGGAAGACTTAATACAGTGAACATGTCAATACTACCTAAAAGGATTGATTGATAAAAGGTAATCCTGATACAAATACCAACAACATGCTTTACTAAAATGGTAAAACTAATAATTAACTCTATATGGAAAGGAAAGAGCCTCCAAATAGCCAATGTTCTGTTGAAGAAAAGAGCAAAGTAGGAGGCCTCTCATTCCTCAATAGCAAAACACAGTATACAGCCCCTGTAATCAAAACAGCCTGATAATGGTTCAGTGATACACACCTAGACCAATGGAACAGAACTGAGAACCCCAAATCCATTCGTTTATGGGCAACTGATTTTCAACAAGAGGTCAAGTCGGATCTGCCTCACAGCGACCCCTCCTTGGGTTTCCCGGGCGGTATCACTACAGAAGTAGATTGTCCAATCTCCCTTCTGAGGAGCGGCTGGTGGGTTTGAGGAGCCAGCTTTCTGGTTAGTAGTCAAATGCCTTAGGCACCAGGCTACCAGAGCTCCTAGAGTACAGGCGAGTGCCGGCAGAGCCATGCCTAGCGTTGGGAGTCACGCAACTGTGCACTCGCAGGTGGCGTCCACAGGCAGGGCCCGCTACTAGTGCTCACGAGGCACACCCACCTCGGTGGCCCCCAAGCGGCCCACCCACCCCGCTGGTCACAATGGCAAGGGACGCCAAAGAGCTGATGGAAGGCAGGCACGGGAGCAGCCAGGGGCCAGTAGCCAGCAGCGGCACAGGCGCGGCCCCTCGACGCCATGACCGCGCTCACACGGAAAGAAGGTTGCGGCGTCGCCTTCCGGGAACATGGGGACCGGGCCCAGCTGGCCGGCGCGGCGGCACTCACGCACGTGTGCCAGACCAGAGAGGTGTGGTCATTCTGGGAAGAACGCCCCTTGGCGCCATGCCAGCGGCGGAAAATGGCAGCGGGGGTGGGATGGATGATCCCTGGCGGCCCCCCCGGATCTGAAGCGGCACTGACGACCGGAGGAGGGCGGGCAGCAGAGGAGAGTGGGCCGGGCCCTGAAAGGCAGCATTGTGGGGCGTGCTGGGGTGCGCTGTGGGGAGGGAGGCCTCGAACTCCCGTCTGACAGCACACTCACAGCATCCATATCCACCACAAGCAGCGCCACCCCTGCCACCGAGCCCGCGCCCCCGCGCGCCCCTTGACCAGAATCGACGCGCGTCTGGCCTGGCTCTGGTCCGAGAGCGCATTGCCCGGGAACACCACCAGACTTGGGGGGTGGCTGGGGGCGACACCCGGTATGGCGAGGCCCGCTTTGGTCCGGAACGGCAGGCCCCCAAGGCGCGGGTGGCTGGCCTGCGAGCGGGAGCGAAGGCTCATGCGGGCACATCCAGGGCAGAGAGGCCCGAGTGGGAGGAAAGGCCTGGAGAAACTTTGAACGCAGTGGGTCGCCAGGAAAATGCACACGTGGTGTCACCGTGGAGGCATCACAGCATAAGGCCGGCCCACAGCGCCCGGAAACGCCAGCTGGCCTCGCATACCCGGAAAAGCGACCAACGACAGCCCGGCCTTGGGCAGGGCCGGCTCAGCCCTCACCAGGGGAGTGTCCCCGTGCCATCCATCCATAAGGTCCAGGGGCCTTATGGATGCTCCTGGACAAGGCAGCCGGTGCCCATGCGCCACTGACAGGCGCTAGCCACAGCACTGGAAGGAGATTCGTCGGAGAGAGGCACACTACTTGATGGAGGGGTGGGGGGGTCAGGAAGGGGTGGGGGTGGTCGACGTGCCAGGCTGGGCCCCTGCCCCAAATGGAGGCACGCACAGTGGGCGGAATACGCAACACAGGAGCATACCTCCTTGCCACATTTCTTCCCCTCCAATCTCCCAACACCCCTCTGCCTCCCCTCCACACCTCATGCACCAGATGCTGGCCTGGCTTGGCCCAGGGAGGCTCTCCCCTACTGTGTGTATGTATATATACACACACAATCTGGTGATAACCAGGGATGGGTGTGGGGAGGGGGAATCACTCTCTAGATTGTAGATACTTGTTATGTGTTAGTTCAGTTTGTGTGTCAACTTGGCTAGGCCTGGTTGAGTGGCTGGGCAGTTGGATGTAGTATTCCCCATGATAACACTGGCAATCAACTCCATGGTGGGATCTACTGGGAGCAGCCGAGTAGCTGCCTTTGGGATGTGGTCTGCTTCCTGTATATAAGGAGAAGCTTTGGGAATGGTCTCTAGCCTATGGCACACTTGGACCCTGCATGTAGCCATGTCGTTGCTCAGCAGCCTGCCATGCTCTGCCAACCTTGGGACTTACAATGGACTTAAGTTAATGGCCTGCTGTGTGGTTTGGTAACATTGGGACTGTGCCTTTTTACTTGTCAACCTTGGGGCTTCTCAGCCACAGCAGCCAGCAGCTGAGTGAAGAAACACCTCTAGCACCAGTGGGCCAGGAGCAGGAAGCAAACCCCAAGGTTGAGAGGCTTTCACCCAGCCTGTACAGCCTGGCACTTTGAACTTGGACTTAAAGCCTCCAAACTGTAAGAGAATAAGCTCCTGTTTGTTAAGGCCATCCCATTTGTGGTATGTTTCCTGTCAGAGTGGCACTAGGTAACCAGAACAGTACCTTAGACCAAAGATAGATTTAGCTGAAGATAACCATACATAGATATGAATGATACAAAATTAGCCACGCTTATTACATAATCAAGACAGAGTTGGAGTAACCCCTCAGAGAAAACCAAACACCTTGAGAGAGAGAATCACCAGGCCTGACAACTTGGGACCATAATATTGGGGGACACCAGGCTCAATTGGCACAACATAGTACATAATAATCTTATTCCCAACCTACATTGGTGAATAGCAACTGGGATCTTAAAAGCTTTCAATCAGCCATCTAGGATGCAACTATTTGTCTCCTCTCACTGGAAGCAACAAAAAGTGAAGAAAATCAAAGCCCTCACTCACTGCTGTCAAGTCAGTTTTGACTCAGAGTGACCTCTCCTTGGGATTCCGTGGTGGTATCTCTATGGAAATAGATTGCCCAGTCTTCCTTTTAAGGAATAGCTGGTGGGTTTGAACTGCCAGACTTCTGGTTAGCAGTCAAATGCCTTAGGCACTAAGAGCTCCCAAATCAAAGCCAATTGGAAACAATTAGTCCGAGGACATGATGAACCTTGAGACCAGAAGAACTAGATGGTGCCTGGCTATCAATGCCAATCACTCAGGAAGGGATCAAAACCAGAGATCCTGAAATACAGTGGGAGGGAAAATGTGCAACAAAATTCAAAAACACAAAAATGACCAGAATTACTGGTCGAATGGAGCCTGGTGGAACCCCCAACTATGGCCCCAGGATACTCTTCAGGCCAAGGATGGGACTCACTCCCAAGGATTGGCTCACAGCCCAACATTAGAAAGACCTACATGCAGAACACCTACCCTAAAGCGATGCACTCACCTTAGAGCAATCAGCAGTGGGGCACCAGAGGAACAGCATTAACATAGAGGGAAAGCTGGAGAGACAGGGTTGCATAGTTAAGAAGGGCACAGGGAAAAGGTGGTCACAGGGACGGGAGGGGAGGAGAGTGCATTATGGTCGGGGATGGTCACTGGGGCATGAAATCAAATGTACTCGAACTGTTGAATGTAAAACAAATTTGGCTCTGTAAATTTGCACCCAATGCACAATAAATAAATAAATAATGAAAAAGATGATTTGTTGTTGTTAAGTGCTGTCGAGTCATTTCCAACTCATAGCGACCCCATGCACAGCAGAACGAAACACTGCCCGATCCCGCGCCAGCCCCAC